TGTCGTGCATATGCTGAGTTAAAGCCCTGAGTTCCCTGAATAGTCCATGAAAAAAGGCAGCTTTTTAGGGATTCTCCTGCCACCATAGATGGGCATTGATGCTGGGGCAAGGGTTGGTCTCTCACCATCACTGTGGGGATGGATCCAGACACATTTACACACCAATATTTTCATTTTCTTGTCTACCTGAGGGTGTGGCAGCACCATGACCTGATGGGGTGCAGTCCTGCCACAAAGGTGCTGGTTTGTGGTGCTGTCAGAGGGATGAGTGCACCCAAGCCTGGATTTCTCTGGTGTAGAGAGTGATTTAGAACAGCACTGTTATTAAAAGCCATAGTAGGAATTTGGCTGTGACTTAAGGAAAAGAAATCAACTTCAATTCCTCTAGTCAATACCAGTATAAACACAGGATTCCTGAACAGAAGCCACTGACTAATCCTGGATAGGATTTGCCAGCAAACCTGGAGAGAATTCATCCATTTGGTTTTATGGGTTGCTATTTTTGTGTACTATGGAGAGATGTTTGTCATATTTATTTACCTGGCACCACAGATCTGACGGTGGGCAGAGCCCTGCCATCCACAGCACCAGAACAGTGAGCACATCACACCACCCCACCAAGATGCTCCTCACCAGAGAAAGGTGTGAGGGAGTGTCTACAGCAACATGAACGGAATTAATAACTTTGTAAGCCTCCCAGACTAATGGGAATTCAATAGATGACCTTGGAAAAGTGTGTAGAGAGCATGGTGATGGATGCCAAGAGGACAGGCTGCACCTTGTGTCTCCCAGCTCCAACACCTGGTTCTTCTTTCCCATTCCCTTCAGACCTGAGGCTCTTTTGCATCTTCCTTCAAAGGCATTACAAGAAAAAATGTAGGCAGGAATAAAGCAGAGGAGCCCCTTGGGCAAGCGGTTGTTTCATGTGCAGAGTTAGTTATTGTACAAATCATCCAAACTATGAGCAGGCTTCATAAAACATAATAAACAAGGGAACTGGAGGGATGGATGAGCTGCAGCCACACAGGGTGGGATGATGCAGAGCAGGACCTCAGTGGAACAGCAGCCTTTCCAAATGGCTGAGGAGGTCCAGAGCAGTTCCCCATGTGCTGCCCTAGCAAATGAGCAACGTGGAGCTGCTGGAGATGTGGCAGTTTCTGGAGGCGCAGGGCCTGCTGCCATGTGTTTTAATAAATGGGTTCACACCAGCTGTCCGTGCAAATAAAACATTAGCATGTGTCAGACACTCTACCCAGGCACTTGCTGTAACTTAGGGGACATTTTTCAGCAGAGTCACTCAAGTGCAGGCTGTGCCATGACAGTGGGAAAACACCTCCCTCTCTCCCCTGTGAATTATGGCGTGCCAGAGAGCTGCCCACACCCAGGCTCCCCTCACGTGTGCGCCCAGTCCTGGCTCAGATAAAATTCCAGGCTTTTAGGTTGAGGGGCTGCCGACTCCGTGTGTTGGGACTGATGGTGCACTAAGACTGTAGGTATTTCTTTCACCTTCCCCTCTTTCCCCAGGTCCACTATTTTTCCTCCAGAAAACTGGCACGAAGGTAAGAAAGTAAGAAGTGAAAAAGGAAAATCAAATTGCACAGCATCTGGCCATTAAAATTCAGACCTTGATGAAAATCAGGGTTGAGAGTGTACAATGTTAGTGGCACACAGGGCTGCACATGGTGGGACAGGACACTCAGCGGGCTCCTGTTTCAAGGGAGCTGCTCCCAGAACCAAACCCACAGGTACTGACCCACAAGTGAAGAGGGGAAGCATCTCATCCTGCCTCAGAACTCTCTTATCTGTTGCTACCACAACGAGGAGCTTTTAAAACCTCTCCAGCTGAAATGGAGGAGGTTTTAAGTGCAACCATGAAAGCATGAATTTACTCGTATGGCTTTAAGAGGTGTTTAATTTATGTGGAAAAAGAACCTAAAATTGGCTGCAGTGTGTTTCAGAGGATGTCTGCCAGCTAAAGCATTGACTAGACCGGAATAATGTGGCTATAATGGACTTACTGCTGTTACCAGATCTCATGTGGATGCCAATATCCAAACCAGACATCCCTGACTGACACAAGCAACAGGCAAGCTTGGCAATGAAGAATATATAATAAACCAGATTCACAGGCTGATTTAAGCAGCAACAGGGACAGTGACAAACAAAACTGGGCAATAGTACTGTTCTAAAGAATTCCGTGTCAGGGGCCACACAGAGAGTCTCGATGGCATGAGGAGAGATGTGCTCAGAGTACAGAGCATGGTGACACACAGTGTCACCCTGCAGATCATCTCACTTACTGCTTTTCCTGATTAGCAGTGTGTGCTGCCCTGAACAATTTGTAATTGGTAGGGGAATATCAGTAATTACTTCTTACAGTTGTTATGGAGCTTAAGTGGTGCAAGTTAATATGTGCAAGAATCAAATATGCTGAGTGTTGTTTGAATAATATTTTTTTTTTTTTCTTATTACAAGGAAACCTGGTTGTTCACTCAGTCTAGTTTCACTCAGGAATGCCCATTAAAACTTAAATACTCAAAGCAAATACAGAGGAACTTTTTGAAAATCAGAAATGTTAAATTGCTACCAAAAAATAGGCCCTTCCAACTCAGAATATTCTGTGATTCTGTGAAATGTTCATTCTGGGAAGCTTGTTCCAGTCCAGGGAGAAGCATTCTCCTACAATGATCCCAGCAGAACCAAAGCTCACAGTGGGCTCTGAGGATATAAATGGTTACAGTGGCCCTATTCTGGGACTGACTTTCAATCAGTCAACAAATAAAACCACTTGGAGAACTAATGGCTTCCAAAAAAAAAAAATTCCCAATTTACTTTAGACAGTTTGCCAAACAGGAAGAGGAGTGAAAACTGTCGAGTGATTTATTACAAATGATTTGCCAGCTCAAGCAAGTGCATCATTCGGAAAACGAATGCAAAGAGATGCTGTAAAGCAGCATGAACCCACCATGAAAGACCAGGGCTCCAGACTGCCAACCAGCAAGACATCTGCACGTCACTCTCCACATCACCACTGCCCTTTCAGTCACAGATCTTCCATCATTTGTCTTTTTTTGTACCTCTGCACAGCTTACGACGTGAGAATGCCGGCTCACACGCTGTGCGATGGTTTCCATTAACGCACTTCAAACCTGACTTGCAGCTGCTTTGCTTATTCACTCTGGAGCCTTCCCCAGTCCAGGGCCCTGCATCACATTGTGTGCTGCTTCCCCGTGCTTGGGGGAATGGAGTGAAACCATTAAACAACCTTCCTATCTCGGCAAATCTACTTTTGCAGCCAGATCCCCCAAGGAAGAACAGGTTTGCACGGTCTGGGGTTTTGCTCCTTCTCGCTCCCCAGCAGCTGCCTCTTTACTTTTAAATTAATTCAGTAGTTAAATAAATATATATATATCTGAGGAAAAGCCCACAGGTGAACTTCACATACTGTGCATTCATGTCTGCCTACTCCTTACTTGGCTAATGGGATAAGGTATAGCCTGAATTGCAAGACTGTCAAATACATTGAGAATTGTTTAAACTGTAATCTCCAAAGATATGGATAGGAAGTAATCCTCTGGTTTTAGCCCTACCATGGTAACAATGAGCATCAGTTTAATCCTAAGAGGAAGATGAGTGGAAATAATGCATTTCAGTCCCATTGTTCTCAAATCAGATGGCTCATGTCTCCTCAGAGAGTGGAGAATTTGGGTTAAGTACACTGGGCTGCTGCTGACAAAACCTTCAAAACATTTACAGAAGAAATGCAGCCCCACCACCTCAGATGAAAGTTAGGGACCACAACAAAATGCAGAAGGAATCCAGGGCTTCTGTGGGGGATAGATTCTGGTTTCCTGGAATAGTACAGAAGGAAACTGGGAAAGACACGTCTAAACATTCACTGGCTCTGGGCTTAAATCTAAATGCATATACCCTCGCCTGCTTTTAGTGGGAGAAAACATTCTGATTCCTTTCCCTTTAAGTTCCCTCTGACTCTGGGAACATCTCAACCACTCCAGGACACATGCAGCTTTAAATTCCAGCTGCCCGCTGATTAACCCCACCTGAAATTCATGTTCCAAATAAAAGATTGAGCAGCTATCACATGCGAGCCTGGCAGCAAAGGGACTATGGAGATTGGTGTCTTGCTCTCTCTGTCCCTCCTTCCGTGTTTCTTACATTTTTCAAGCCCAATGCTTCAGTAAACAAATGCCTCAACCTGTCAAAGCACTGGAGCACAGCAAGTGTTGATGCTGAAATCCGTTCCACGCATGGGCGTGTTGGATTTAGCAGTGTGTGGAGACCAGCAAAGCCTTGCTGAAGTCAGGAGGGGCTGCTAGTTAAACCAGCTATGGATTTCCCCAAAACAGCAAAAATAGCAGCCTCAGGCTTTGACGATGCAGTTCCTTTTCAGATGCCTGTGCTACACCCTGTGTCCAAAACTTTCTGAAATTAGGAGCTGTCACTACACTGAGGAAACGGGCTCTGGATCAACACAAGGAACTGGGGGAGAGGGAGAGATGGTTTTATTCCCCCGATCTTTCTAGTCGCTTTCCAGCAGAAGGGAAGGAGACGCAGAAGATACAGAGAAAGGATGGAGATTTGGGTTTTTCTGGCGATGAACTGCCACCTTTGGGTGAACGTCCCTGGGGCAGTACGGCGGAGCGGAGCCGGACGCCCCGGGCTCAGGGGGGCACGGGAGGGTTGCACCGGCCCCGGGCAGGATTAATCGCGGAGCAGGATTTATGCCGGCGCAAGGTCTCAACCCGGCGCGGTGGGGCAGGAGGGGGTGCGGGGTGGGGCGCAACAGGAGGAGCCCAGACGTCCCCAAATCCCTCCTGCCCGCACCCTGGGCCGGTCCGTCCCGTCAGGGCTGCCCGGAACATCCCCATTCCTGAGCCAGTCCCCCGCTCCAGCCTCCCCCTCCTGCCCCGCCCGTCTCCGCAAAGTTTGGCCAACCCGGGAAGGAGGAGGCGGCTGCCCGGACCCTCCCGGCCCCTCACCTGGATGACCGTCTTCAGCGTGGAGGTGTCCACGATGGTGGTGCAGATGAGGGAGTCGGGATCCCGGTCCTTGGCGTAGATCTGCCCCATAGTGAAGATCATGGGGATGGCGAGGAGGAAGGAGGCGATCCAGATGCAGCTAATGAACTTCTTGGTGCGGCTGCGGGACATGATGCTCTTGGCTTTGAAGGGGTGGCAGATGGCCATGTAGCGCTCCATGCTGAGGCTGGCGATGTTGAGCGCCGTGGCATAGGTGCAGGCGTCCCGGAGGAAGTAGTAGCCCTTGCAAACGGCTCCCCCGAAAGCCCAGGGGTGATGGACCCAGATGAAGTTGTAGAGCTCGATGGGCATGCAGAGCAGGAAGATGAGGAGGTCGGAGAAGGCGAGGCTGGCCAGGTGGTAGTGCACGGTGCTCTGCAGGTTCTGCAGCGACTTCTTGCGCACCAGCGTGTACGCCGTGATGGAGTTGCCCACGGTGCCCACCAAGAAAAGAGCCAAGTAGATGACGGTCACCATCACTTTGGAGTAGATGTCGGTGTTGACGTCCAGATCCTCCTCGTCGGGCACTTTGGGGAGCAGGTCGGAGCGGTTGGAGGCGTTGGCATAGCCGCTGGGGTGCGGGTGCAGGGGCCCGGCGGGCACGGCCGGGGCCGTGGCGTTCGGGTGCATCCCCGGGGCCGGGCAGTACCGCCCGGACCGGCCGCACCGCCCGGACCCGCCGCTGCCCCCGGCGGGGAACTTGGCTCGTTTTAATGCGGCGGGAGGAGCCGCCGGTCCCGGGGCTGCCGCGCGTGTGCGTGTGCGAGACGCGTCCCCCGCCCTGCGAGCCGCCCACAGCCCCGGCTCCCTCCTCCCCGCCGCTCCCACGGCGTCCAGATGTGCCCTGGCAGCGCGGGAGCCGCCCCGCACACACGCACACCAACACAGACCCGCACACACGCGCACACCAACACAGACCCGCACACACACACCCGCACTCCCGCACACACGCACACCAACACAGACCCGCACACACACACCCGCACTCCCGCACACACGCCCGCCCGCCCCGCACAGCCGCGCCGGCAGCCGCCGCCCCACCGGTGACCGCGCACCCCCTGCCCGCCCCGCCGCTTCCTCCCCCGGACCCGGGGACTTTGCAACCTCAGCTGCGTCCCCAAAATGTGGCCCACGGAGGGAGGGAGGGAGAGAAGGAAGGAGGGAGCAGGTCCCAGGCTGGGCTGCAGAGCTCCTCACCACTGGGACCCCCCCCTCTTATCCATCCCTCACAAAGTCAGTCACAGAGGCACGGCTGAAAGCTGAGGGCTGGTAAGGGGCTGGTAGTGGGTCCAACTTCCCTGTTCCTCTCCCACAGGGAGAGGAGAGGCACCAGGGGTGCTCCAACACACTTGTACATCCATATGTCCCACTGGTCCCCAAATACCCACTCACCTGCTGCTGCTGCTAGGAGAAATGCATTTAAAAGAAGGGAAAGCCCACCTAAAAATACTTACCTGTGCCCTGACCTGTCCGGGGCACCCTCAGTGCCATGGCACAGCAGTGACAGCTTTGCTTTGATCCCTACCAGTGACTTTTCACTTTATCCCATATCCTCAGGTCTGGGGATGTGGGGTCCTCTCTGAGCTGCCTTGTTGCAGAGGCAGAGGGGGTGTCACAGTGATGCTGAAGGTGACAGGGGGATCCCCCACAGGGAAGGGCCCCCCAAGGCTGAACAGTCTGTGCTGGGGTTACCCTTTCAGCCACTCTGTAAAACTCCAGTGAGCTGTTTGTCCACTCAGTTGTCTTTATGATAAAATTTTCACAAATGCAGAGTATCAAGGAAAATCTCATTCAGGGCATCACTGGTTTATCCAAAGACAGCCATAACGTGTCCCATGCATCCAACAGCCAGTGGGCTCTGTGTTCACCCAGACTCCTTACCTAGTTGATGCAAAAAGATGCCTAATCCTTCAGTCAGTCAAATCTTCTCTTTTATACGAATACCAAACTTTCCACAGCCATCCACCAAGAGCCAATATTACCCCCAGCTTTGCTCCTCTTACATTCATCCAGTAGGATCACCATGGAAGAATAACCAAAATCAGATTTATTTAGTCATCTTATTCATACAAATGTGGAGAGAAATATTTTCCAGCTCTCATCCCACACTAGTTTAGAAAATGACTAATAAGCTCTTAACACCAATGTTCCTTTCATTTGAGCTCTTCTGTTATGAAATTTCTATTAGTTGAGAGGAGTTTGTCAGAGTTGGTTTTCCCAGCTCCTCTCACCCATTGTTCCTGGCCCTTGGACAAGTTCTTGGGATGGATCAAGAGTACTTATCCTGAAGAAGGAAAGCGGAACATGACGGAAGTTGCTGGGGTGTACTGATTTGTGAAGGGGAGCTGCAGCTGGGATACAAGCCTTCTCCTGGCTGCCCACTGCCCCTATCCCTCAGCTCCCAGTTTGGGGGGAGCTTATAGCCCCATGATCCAAGCACAAACCCACACTTCTGGACTAAGCACCTCTCTCACAGACACAGCCAGTGAGTTCCTTTGGGATCTTTGTCTGTAACCAAGATATATTGTCCCTTATGGTGCTGTAACTTCATTTTGGCCTTGTGAAAAGCAATTGCTATCCCCACAAACAAGATACCCATCTGCTGGTCTAATTTTGCAGTGTGGATGTGCACGTTTATATCAATAACTGTCTGCAGAATGCTCTGGTTTGGATTTTGTTGCCTCATGTTTCTGCACACAGGCGATGTACAGGCACGGCTGCTAACAAGGAGAGCATTGCCTCTCTGTTCTGCCCCAGCAGCTGTTCCTGAGTGCTCCACGTGCTGCCTCCTCCACCTTCCCTCCATGCCAAGTACTGGCAGGCAATATCAAGAGACATAGTTTAAAAATAATTCTAATTACACACTGAAAAAGCAGGTACCCGGAAATAATGTGGTGTTGATTTACAATCAACATTTCAACAGGCTGGTGCAGTTTGTACCAGCCAAATCTCTCTTTTCCTAAAAGTGCATTGGTAGGGTACTACCCCAAAAATGGTTGGGTACCACCTCAAAAATTGGGCGAGACTACCTCAAAAAAGGTCTCAGCAGCGTATTTCTCTGAGCTAATTAATAAATTTAATAAATTCCATTAATTCCTTGGCAAATCTGTCTCAACCACATGTGAAGAATTCACACTCTCACAGGCAGACAGCTCTGTTCTGTTTCTCACAGACAGGGTGTTGAGCAAAGACCTTGTCTCCTGGGATTCAGCCTTGCATTCCCCATGCAGGGATCAACCTCTCCACCTTTTCAGAAAGTTTTTTTTCCAGGCAGGTTCTACCTTCTGTCCTCACATCACTTTTACAGAGCTGGACACCTACAGCTGGCCCATGTCTGAGCCCCTGCCAACCCTGGTCTCCAAGGAGGCAGAGGCTTAGCCTGCCAAAGAAAGGCACCCTAGGCATCCACCCCCTTCCTGCCTCTCCATGTAGCACCTCTTTTCCCTCCCCACTGCTGGTGTTTGGCCTGGGGGATCTGTGAAGTCTCTTTCCACGTGTGGGATAACAAAAAGAACGGCAAAAGTATCTCTTCTCACCTTCACTTCTGCTCCCTGCAAGGTTTTAATCCATATTCCCTTTCCAGCCAAAGCAGAGCTGGAGTTGAACCACTCTCCTCTTGTGCCCCAAAGCCTCCACCATAAATCCCCGCTGTTTGTTTCGGAACTCGCCGACCTTTAACTAATCTGGGCTCGTTTTAATATATTTTGTATGTGTGTGCCTGTGGCTTAAAAAGGAAAAGAATCATGGAAACCGAGAGATGCCTGATCTCAAATGTTACGGCAAGGCATTTACTTAAAATCTTGCAGGAAAATGTCACCCAAAGACCTCATCTATTAAAACTGCCTGGACTTTGAGCTGAGGGTCCCACAGTGCCTGAGATGCAAGGCCCACAGGATGCCTCACTCCCTTTTATGTTGACCTAAGTGTTTTTCATCTTTGCTTTTTCCAGGTGCAGTTGGGAGTCACTAGGAATTTTTCATGTTAATCTTTTTCCTGTCTGATTTCATTGGGTGGGATTTTTCTGAAGGGCAAGGAAAGCAGCAGAGAGAAAGCTCTGCAAGAGGTTGCTGCTAAGAGACAGCACCAACCTTTTTCCCATCTAGCACCCTGCCCCAAATACCTGTTAGAGCAGGTTCCTGGGTCAGGTAATGCTGGATTGATTCAAGCCTTTAAAATCAGCTCCCAGTGGACTCACTGCAGTCAGGGTCTCCCTAAAAGTCAGGAGCGTCTAAGATGGGTTAGGAAGGTAAAATGCTGGGGTGTGTAGGGCTTTTTTGAATCATGCTGTGCTTGAACAGCAAGGAAGTAAGGGAGAAAGGAGTGACAGAAAAAGGGGCATCGATCAGCCTTGTTGATGACAATATTGACTGTATCATTAATTACAGGCATGGGAATGCATCCCTTCCTACCCTCAACTTATTGCAAAATAAAGTGTTATTAGTTTGGCTGAGCAATAAAAGATAGTTACTGCCTTTGGCTGAACTGATTTCAGGAGAGTATTTTAAATCAAAACTGTTGATACCTCTCATTTTCATAGCAAAGGCACCTGCTGAGACTCTGCAGTGGGAGCACGTTGGTGTGTGGAACAGACAGACCCCGAGCAAGGCAATGATCACACACCCCAGCACGTGTGTCCCTGGGCAACTTAAAAAAAAAAAAAAGACAACCCAAAAACCAGAACACACCAGGGTGTGTGTGGTGCTATTGGTAAGAGAATTACCCTGAAGTCTCTGGGAAGGGACAACTGGGAAATGAGGTGTCCAGGCACCTTCTATAGGTCATGTCTTCTGTGTGCTGCAGGGACAAATTCAGTCCTTCGACAAAACTCCTTAAAAGATAATAGATGTACTGGCTGACATACCCTGTAATATTTGTCTCAGACATCAAAGACTGGTGCATTAACTGGACACACACAGGAGATATCAACAGCTTTAGCTTAGAGATAAAGGAGTTTTGGGTCCCTCGAGTTGTTGCTGCAACAAGCCCAAATCTGATTCCTCATGGCAATAAATGCATTTTATCTTCATATATGCAGTATAAGTGCTCAACACACCGACATTCATGCTCACACACTGCAGGCAGGATTTTCCTTTGGAAATCCTCTGTTTTATTCCAGGAACAAATATAAAGAGAAGGGACAGAGGAGTCCAAAGGGAGAGTTTGCGCTTGCTGTGGCTGGGACCTTCCCTCCTAGCCCCAAGCACAGCACATGCAGATGGGCTGTTACTCTATTCCTAAGGGATTTAATCTGCTTTTTCAGCCCTGGCAGCAGCTCTGTCAGCTGTGCTTCCAACAGCTCCGCGCAGCGGTGCCGGCTCAGAGCACAGCCCTCACTGCCAGGAATACTCCAGCTCCAGCTCAGCTCCATCCCTTCTCCTCATACACCACACCAACATTTTTCAGGAAATCTCAGAAGTCACACATTAACTTCATTTTCTCACCCCTCCTCCCGGTAATTTACACCACTTTCCAAATTTTCAATGTGCCTGGAAATTGTAAAATGCAAATGGAAAAGCGGCATAGCAAAAATCCCTGGCAGCCAAATGCTCTTTACTGTCTTTTACCAGTAACCTTCCCATAGGTTTGAAATGCTCCCAAATCCTTATTAAATGCCTTGGATTTCAGGAAACAGACAAAGAACTGAGTATGCTTTGTTCTCTTTCATGGTGCAAGTCTTTTTATTAAATGCTGGAAATGCCATGGGCTGGTAGGGCTTTCTCCTTGGCTGTGTCACTGAAAACATGACATTTGTTCAGACACCCTTTTCCCTTGGTCCCTTACACCCAGAAAGTCCCTTTCCTTTTCCAGG